CGATAGCTTTGACCCAGACGACCAGTCAAACTATAGCCCGTCACGGATGACCTATCTCAATCGGGCCACAACTAGCGCCCATCACAGATGACCCTTATCTGTGACGGGCATTAAACCCTCATCTCAATCGGGTCTAAGTTAATGCCCGTCACAGATGAGTATAATCTAAATAAATAAATTTTATTTTTTGGCTAGCCAAAGGCCTTTGGTAGCCATGCCATGTCGTTCTGCCTCTCCCAGGCCATGTTCTTTTTTTGTCCTGACTCGTGTGCACCCAGGAAGAACTTCCCGGTCGGTCACCCATCCCAAAATTGCTCCAGGCCAAGCTCCGGAAAAGTAGTTGTAACTTTGTTGGTATGAGTATTCTATTAATCCTATTAAGCCCTAGGCCAGGATATCACACCTCAACATCCCCCATTCATATACATTCATTCACATACACAACCATCAATATATTTAGCACAACCACATTCACATAACATCCATTTTGATCACATATTTCATATCCATTCACATATTTCACTTGCAAAACCGAGTTAATTGGATCAAATATATATTTAGCAAGTATTATCATGAAGAGGAGGCAAATCGACTTCTAGGAAAAATGAATTTCGAATTGAATTTTATAATACTAAATAAACTCATATGAAAAAGCTGTCAAAAACAAAGTTGTAGAACTCATTGAGATCTGTCAAAAATAAAGTGTCGAGGTTATGGATACCACATACCTAATAGTAGTTGACTAAATCTCGGCAGGACCCACCACATACCATGTCTTATACGGAAACAACTTTCGGATATAGGGCGGGTTCCGCATAAGGAAGGATGGATATAGTTCTACATGGAAACGACAAGGACTACTCAGATTGTATCCATATTGATTTCCCTAGTTCTACTTGGACAAGGGGACATCTATGGGTATAAACACAAGACCCCCTAGGAAGAGAGGGGGCGCGGAACAATAGATCAAGACAATAGATCAACATGCAAGCCAACATACGCTAAGACAAGACGCCGGATATCAACATCAGAGATATGCCTAGAAGGACCATATCCGGTACCTATGGAGGCTGGCTGTAGAGATCTAGCGCTGTCTTTGATCTCACCGGATGCGGATTCGAGGAGGAAGGCTACCCTGTTGTTGACTACGGGATGGTTTTATGGCTGCCAAGTCGACAACAGTTAGATAGGCTAACCCAAATATTGTACTGGTGTGATTATGGTGAATAAGAGCAACGACCGGTTTCGGCCAACAGGATGTAGGACTATTACCTGTCAGATAAGGGGCCCGTACCTGTATAAAAATCATCGTCTTCATCTCTTTTACTACAATCTCGCATATATCCTAGTACCAACGATCCCCATACTATGCAAATACCGGAATCGCGACATCAAACGTCGACAGTGGCGCGCCAGGTAGGGGGATTTTGGTGCTTCAGGATTTTGACGAGATGGGTTCAAGAGATGGATTCTTCGCCAGCAAACTACTCAACGACTTCGTATGCTGGGTGATATGACCCGAACGAAGTACGTTCTCCGGCGGATCGGGATCTTCATCAAGCTTTGCCAAGTCATCGTCACTATGGATTTTTTGACTAGGGATACTTCAACTACTTTGGATCTGGGAAGTCAAACCCAACCAGAGTACGTGCCCCGACAAGATCGGAACCATCATCGTCATCGACAACTTGGTCTATCGAGATCATCCAAGCTTCAAGATACACGGCGTACCAAAAGATGTCAGATCATATGATGTCGAACGAGTACACAATAAGGTAATTGGTAAATCGGTTTTTCAAATTGATCTACTAATTTCGTAGATACATCCGGTATGTATCTACAAAGGTACGCAATATTTTATATGCAATTTATCGTACCTATTTTCAAGATCACACAACATTGTCAGATCAATAATTTATTATATTTACCTAGAGCATGTCTTTATACAATATCTATTGTGCGAGTGTTCCCGATGTTAAGCCGACTACGGTCTAATGCTGGGGGCTTGCTGTATTTTCTTTTGTATAAATCATGTGTGTTTACGGTTTACATGATGCCTAACATTTAGATCTGCTCGTTATATCCTGATAATACTAGAAGATTCATGCAGTTTTTTGAGTACATACTCGATATTCTCTGCTACATGTCTTGCCTTCTAGAAAATATTTTTCAGGAACAATTGAGCACTTGAGTAGGTTGTGGTCGAGTACACCCCATTATCGAGAACATTCTCGACAAATGCGGAGTTGTCGCACCCAACCTATCAATGAAGACCGACGACCTATCTCATAGTGCCAGCTATGGCTAAGCTATTCGAGAAAAGGTTGTTAACGGATAATTGTTCGCGAACGATGTCGGCTTGATCACCCGACATGATTGCGGACGGACATCCGGATATGCTATAAGTTGGGTATGTGAGTCATGCTGGCCACATGAGATGCACATGTAACAAACCAACTCTAGCGCCTCCAACCAGTAAATCGTAGCAATCTCTCGCACCGCAACTTCCATCGGTGCTCGAGAGATGATTCAAGTCGCTAGTTCTTGAACCAGTAAATCGTAGCAATCTCTCGCACTGCAACTTCCATCGGTGCTCGAGAGATGATTCTAGTCGCTGGTTCTCGAACCAGTAAATCGTAGCAATCTCTCCGCAACTTCCATCGGTGCCCGAGAGATAATTCTACTCGCTGGTTCTCGAACCAGTAAATCGTAGCAATCTCTCTCACCGCAACTTCCATCGGTGCTCGAGAGATAATTCTACTCGCTGGTTCTCGAACCAGTAAATCGTAGCAATCTCTCGCACCCCAACTTTCATCGGTGCTCGAGAGATAATTCTACTCGCTGGTTCTCGAACCAGTAAATCGTAGCAATCTCTCGCACCACAACTTCCATCGGTGCTCGAGAGATAATTCTACTCGCTAGTTCTCGAACCAGTAAATCGTAGAAATCTCTCGCACCGCAACTTCCATTGGTGTTTGAGAGATAATTCTACTCGCTGGTTCTCAAGAACTTTAAATTTAATTTTAGTTCGATTTTTGTGTGTCAAATGCAAAAATCATAAACAACATAATTGTATAACTCATCGAGATCTACAACTATTACAACTATTGTATCGGTCCTTTGTACAAATAAGTTCATTTGAACAATTCAAATTTTGAATTTCAAAATTTGATAACTTCGAATAAAAATTGGGATTAATAAATGATTTCAAATGGAAAAGTCACCAAAACCAAAATTGTAGAACTCATCGAGGTGCAAAATTTTATTTTGGTCATTTCTCCATCTGACTCTGTTTAAACAATTTGAAATTTGAAATTCAAAGTTTGAGAAATTCAAATAGAATTTTAGATCAGTGAACGACTTCAACTGAAAAAGTCATCAACAACAAAGTTGTATAACTCATCAAGGTCTATAACTTTTATTTTGTCCATTTTTCTATATAACATTTTTTTAACCGTTTGAATTTAAATTTAAAAATATAACAACTTCAAATAACATTTTCAAATACTAAATGATTTTAACTGAAAAAGTTATCAAAAACAAAGTTGAATAACTTATCAAGATCTAAAACTATTATTTTGGCCATTTCTTTATCCGATAAAGTGATAGTAACATTATTCACAAAATTGACATATCTCTTATCTGGTTTTATAAACTATAAGACATATATGAATTTTGATAAAAGTGTTATATAGAAAAATGACCAAACTAAAAGTTATAAATCTTGATAAATTATACAACTTTGTTATCGATAATTTTTTCATTTGAAATCATTTACTATCCGTAAAATTATTTTGACTCATAAAATGAATTATTATACTATAGTTAATTATTCTGCTATAGTTCAACTTACAAATATAAACATTTCATATGAAAAATAAAAAAATACTCATCGGTGACGGGCTTTAGTTAATGCCCGATAGAGATTAAGTCATCTCAATCGGGCATTAGTATATAGCCCGTCACTGATGATTCATCTGTGACGGGCCTAGTTGTTATCTCAATCGGGTCTCAAATTGGTGCGCGTCACAAATAATGATCATCTGTAATAGGCCCTAACATGAGGCTCGTTTGAGATATGGAATGTTATCTCAATCGGGTCTAAACTACGGTCCGTCCCTGATAGGTGTCATTCGTGACGGGCTTAAGTTTTATGCCCATCTAACATATCTGTGACCATATCTCAATCGGATACTTTTTCGGTCCGATTGAGATGACTTCCTTGTGACGGCCTGCTATTTATAGACATGTTAGAGGCCGTCACAGAAAGAAAGATCTGTACCGGTGACGAGGGGTGAGCGGCAGCATACATGGCGTCTCAAGCCGACGATCTCAACATTGATCTCATCCTGAATGTTTCGCGACCTTCTGCCGTGCCACCTCGATCGAGAAAACCAACCGCCGCGTCCACTGTCGTGATCAGCATCGATCACACGTACGACGTGTCCTCGCGCCCGAACCGCACCTTCCAGAACGCCAACGCGTTCCGCTGGCCGGTGGCATCGTAGAAGCAGCAGCCAGCAGGACGATGAGGCCCGAGCACGGCACATATGAGCTGCGGGTCCTTTCTCTTGCCGAATTTAGAGGCCCAAACGGTGCAGCCACTGCGCTAGTGCACACTTAGTCCCACCTCGCTTACCAAACATAAGTTTCACTCCTTTATAAACTGAGGCCAGGAGCACTTGTCAAGAAACACATTGTCGTCAGCCGAGCATAACATGTACCAATTGGGGAGGGCTGATAAGCGGGCGATTGGGCATTCTCTAATATTTTATGTATATAAACTTAAAAAACAAAATTGGTAAAAAAAATAAGTGGTGAAAATTTTTTTTCGCCTACTGCCATAGAAATTAACGTGACCGATCGAGCCCGGGAAGGGCAATTGTTGTCAGGAGATTTGTGAACCTCCACTATTACATCCTAGATACGTGTGGGCCCGCTTCTCATTTCTCAAATATCAGTAGTTCTATTTTTTTAAAAAAAATGATTGACAACATATATAAGGATACACCATCTTGTAAAAACTCAAGTCCAAAGTCAATCTACATAATTATTAGAAACAAAGTAAACAAATTTTATAGCACTGGAAATAACGTTCCTAGACATCTGCATTTTGCCACGGTTGAATCCTAATATCTGTACGGTTAATTTGACTTCCATGGTTCTCTGAAGAAGAAACCGTCTTCTCCAATTCACTGCCAAATATGCTGGAATTTAGATCTTCAACAATAGGAGGGCTCATGAAACTAAGGAACGTAGAGCATGCCTCCTTGAGTTTGCAACAATGGTGCTTCTCCGCTAGCACCAACATGGTTGACACTGAGCATGTATCAATATGGTTGCACAACTTATCTTCGTAGACAAACTTTAACCTCTGTAAGCCATACCTGTCTGCAGCAGCAAGCAACTGTTGAGCCATAGCTACATTGTCTTTTCCATGACCTATCTCTGACCAAATGTCTGTGTAGATGAACTCAAGCAGAGCCTTGAACACTCGTGCTTCCATATTGTCAATCTGTATCGCATCTATGGTGCCTTTCTTCGTCGGCCCGAAAAGCTCTGCCTTGAAGACCGGTGACCGTGCCGCCAGCACCAACCGGTGCGCCGCAAACATCTCGCCGCCGACCAGGAACTTGACATCGGTGCCTTCTTTGCTTACGAGGAGATCACCAAAATACAGATGCATGTTCGACGGTGGTACGACGACAGATGGCTTTTTCTTTGGGATGATTACATGGGCAGCAACGGCAAAGTAGTCATCATTGAGATATTCCGATCGCTCTAATTCGTCCCTCCTAATAAAGTTTTCGAACCCCCTTGCCCTACCAGAAGATGTTGAAAAGTTACGTAATTTGGTGTGATAGGTGTACGAGGGCACCGGGTTCCCGTATCGATCGAGCAGGCTGAATGTAGCTTTTGCCATCACGTCCTCGTCGGTGACGATGTCCTCAAGCACGAGGAAGATGGAGATGCAGTCCTTGTTGCTGTCGCGGCATCCGTGTGGGTAGTAGCTGACATGCCAGGTGTGGCCTCCTGCGCTGAACGGACAGGAGCTGAGGGGGTGGTGGCGGCCGGCTTTCAAGGTGTTGGAGTACCCGTTGATCTTCAGTACGTGATAAGCCTGCGCCGCGATGGTCGTGACGGTGGACGTCGTCGTTGTCGCCATGCCTGCGGTCTTGTGTTGGTAGACCGATCTCTTTTCCAGTCTTGTGTTGGTAGACCGATCTCTTGCGGAAAAGATTTGATTTCCTAGCTACTACCAGACTGCACGCCTGCTTCTTGTAGGACCAGTGTTAGAATCCAATTCCAACTGGTTGCTGGGAAAAGAGAAAAGATTTGATTTCTAGCAAGCTACTACCAGACGGGACGCCTGCTTCTCGTAGGACAAGTGTTAGAATCCAATTCCAACTGGTCGCCGGTGTTAGTGCCATCTCGCCGTCGTTCGTGGTCACAGACTTCTCGCATCTTGATCGCCGTCGCAGGCCCTCACACTAATCGTGCTGGGTGAACTCGTCCGGCTGGCAGTTGGTACTGATGGTCTGAGAAACTCCTCTACAGAGTAAAAGGTGGAGAGAATATCAGTTCCAGTTGGGAGGAAATAGAAAAGTATTGAATCGGTGCTAGATAATGATGAAAACAGCAAAAAGAAATGGTGAGTTCAATATTTTTAGAGGGGATTGATGTATTCTGTATAAGGATTAAGCATCGAACTCAACATCTTCAGGTAAAAAAATACTTTCATATTTGCAATTCACGATGAAAATTTTGTAGCATATGCTAGTATGCTAAATATGGACCACAAGAACTCCATATCCCTCTATATCTAAAGAGTTTTTGTGAGATCTAAGAGAATTGATACAGTAGTTGATTGGTAGGCAAATGTTAGGATAGTGCCATGGTTGTGCAATAGTTTTTGTTTTAAGAAAAAAGAAAGAAAAAGTGTGAAGAGCCCCCTTAAGTAGTGTAGTTGACGTATTAAAATGATAATTTAAGATGGCTACATAACCATTTAAACAAACTAACAAGCTAAGCTACGGCGAAAAGAAATAAGTTAGTACAAAGCGATTTTACCAGCATATGATACTTCAGAAAGCTTAAGGAGTGCATATAAAAGGACCTTTCTTGTACCTGGTTCAAGTTTAAAATGTCACTGAAGTACATAATGCTTAGAATAAGAGAGTGGATTAAAAAATATAATGCCGTCATACTGAATTAACTAACTGAAGAGGGTTCATACCTTGAGTATTGCATTTCTTTCTTGAAGAAGATGCGAGTCTAAAGCTCATTGTAATACAAAGAGCTCCTCCTTATCTTCTTTCTTCAAGTAGCAAACATTGAAATCAAACAAGGTCAAAATGGTACACACGAAAGAGATGGGAAAAGACAAAAATAATGGAACAAAGCCACACCTTAATCAAATAGCATGCTAGATATAACTAAAATATGCAGGCAGAACATCACAAAGAGGAGAAAGTGCTACACAGAAAGCAGTAATGATAACGAAAGTTTATTTTCCAAGAAATTTCATTGGAGAAAATATTTACAAGAGTTGGAAAGCAGTCAGATATCATAATTTAGAGCCAAGTACAATATGTAATCAAAAGGATGATACATGTACCTTGCTCAGAAGGCTGGCAGTTATGTCAAGTTTGATGATGCCAAAACCTTGTTCTACATTTTCAGTGGTTGACAACATGACAGTCATTTTGCTTCAAAAAAACAACATGACAGTCAGGCCCTTTTTTTTAGCTGGATCAGCCAAAGAAGAGGCCGATCGAATTCCATTAAAATTGAAGGGGAAATGCAGATATTACAATGACAGTAGGCTGTTGAAACCGGTGGCACCCACCATGCTGGGTAGCCAAAAAAACAAAACAGGAGATCGTCCTGGCGAAAAAAGGTTTGGGTTGAACTAGGGACTAATCTCTTTTGAACAAACCCGCAGCCCTCCAGACCAAGATTTCATCCTTAATTGCTCCATATACACTACTAGGCGTGCTTGCTCTGTTCTCGGAGACCCCTGCATTCCTCTCCTTCCATATGAACCAGCATACCATGAAAAAAAGGAATCAAAGGATTTCCTGTGAGCAGCACGACAACACACTCTTGACTGAAGCCACCACTCACCAAGATCGAGGGCCTGATCCCGTGGTAGCTGAAAACCAATGTTGAGCCAGTTCCTCAACATATCCCAAACTGCATTAGTGAAGTTGCAGGCAGCAAACAGGTGGGTACAATCCTCACTCGCTAAAGAACAGAGGTGGCAGTGTTGATGATGGGGCCAGCCTCTCTTTTGTAGATTGTCTGCCGTGAGGCATCTCCCTTTGAGGTAAGCCACATGAATAACTTGATCTTGGATGGTGCTCTTGTCTCTCAGACCATCCTGTCCCAAGACCATCTCGTTCTGGCCAGGAAGAACATGTTGTACACCCGAGTCGACTGAGAAGTTACCACCCCTCGCCGTTGTCCAGAAAAACACATCTTCTTCTCGCTGGTTCAGTTTCTTCTCTTCTACTAAGTCCCATACCTGAAAGTATTAGCTCAAAGTTCTACACGATGGTGCACCCACAATATCCTTCACCCGTCGACAGTTTGTCAGACCCTCAGTTACCAAGAGACCATCTTGGCACACAAAGCAGGACAGGCATGGCATCGAGGAGCTGATGCTGGGCAACCAATTGGACCTCCAGAAATCAATGTTGACGACGTTTCCTACCTCAACCCTTTTTGCTGCGAAGAAGATGTTTTCCAGAGTCTTGTGTTCTTGTTTCTTCAGCATTGTCCATGGGCGCGATCATTTTGCTGTACCGTCAGTGCCAGCCACTTCATACGCAGTGCTCGACCGAACAGGATGTAAATCCTTGATTCCAAGACCACCATACTCATCAGGCGAGCAGACTTGGCTCCAAGCCACCAGACAATGTCCACCACTGACACTAATCACAGAAAGCTTCGGCATTTCCTCTCTACCTCTTTAATTGCCCATTGTGGCAGTTCAATTACCATCACTTAGGTGTACTAGTAACACCATTAGCACTGTCTTGATTTGTGTCAGTCTTCCTCCTGACGGCAGCATCTTTTGGCTTACACCCGACAACCTTCTTAGAGAACTTATCTAGCAGAGGCTGCTGTTCCTGCTTGGTAAAGCGGCAGACCCAGGTAAGTTATGCCAGATTGCCAGCCTCTTGGATCCAGTCACTCATGGAACTTCAGTTCTCCTTTTCATTGATGCTTTCATGTCTTGATGAATGGACCAAGAAACATGGCCATAATTTGCTTGACTGTACTTTAATTGGATGGGAGACAAGAGGGCAACCACTCTTCACTTCACAAGGTAATTTCTTAGTATCAAGCAAATCATTTGTGCTACATGCCTATGTTTCTGTCAAAAACTATCAGCACATAAGGCTAGTATGCTAGATTATTATCAATAAACCTTCAGCACTGCTAACTGATTTATTTAAAATCAGCTTTAACTGATATTTTTACTGTAAAAAAATAGGTAAAGAAGTGGCAAAACTGTTCAGTAAACCGCAGAGGCATTAAAAAAATGCCTTTCATAATTTACAGTTCCACATAACCACAATAGTTTGAATGGTCATATTACCAATTAGCAATGATGTTTTCCTTCTGAATACTTTGGATTTATTTTTATGATATTCAGCTCATCATCCAGAAATAATAATTAGGGAGAATTGTGTTTATGCCCCAACTTTCAATCTCAATTGTGATTTTACCCTCAGTTTTTAGGGTTTGTGAATTTACCCCTGTTTTTTTTCAAATGAAGTCACCGTTTGCCCTTACTATGGATGGCAGTTAGATCGGTCCCACAGTATTGAGTTAAAAAAACAGAATAGAGAAAGGAAAAATAGTTTAAGAAATATGGTATTACTCTTCTACCCCCCCCAAGACCCCATCATTCCCATTCCAAAATCCTAGGGAGAGATATAGCAGGCGGCGACGGTGCCTCCGGCCAAAGCGCACGGCGTCACGAGCACCAGGTGGCGGCGGCGGCTACTCGATGCGAGCAGCAGGTTGCGGCGACGACTCCTTGATGCGGCGGCATCTCTACTCGACGCGAGCGACGCGAGCAGCAGGTCGCTTCCGATGCGGCGGCGTGAGCAGCAGGCCGTGCGGCGGTGGCGGCGCTTCCTCGGCGTGGCAGCTCGGCAGGAGGTTTGCCGATGTTGATTCCTCCTTCGATTGCCCTGTTGACTAGTGCGGACCAGCACAGCGTGAAAGGAAGACGAGGGGTCTTCCAGGATGGTGCTCTATCTCTTCATTGCTGACATGCATGTAAATTCATCACTGCTGATCGAGGCGATTACAGAGAAAGAGATTAATCTTTGACTAACCACCAAGTGAGTGCTAGTGCGTCAAAATTCTGCCAAAACTATAATCAAATTCTATCAAAATTATCATATTTGTCAAAGTTTATCAAAAATAAGCTAAAGTTTAAATTATTTCATAAATTTTAAGTTCAAAACGGTTCCAACTTTTTATGTGCAAAATGTGGGTGATATCTACAAGTAGGGGTAAATATGCAATAAGTAAGTAAGGGTGTATATGTCTTTTCGCGCTCGACTTAACACCGTCAAACTATCCGTCCAAACTAGGGGCAAATCTCTGCTTCATTTCAAAAAAGCAGGGGCAAACCCTAAAAAACGAGGGTAAAATTACAATTGAACTTCAAAGTAGGAGTAAAAATGCAATAGCCCCTAATAATTATTAGTAGGAAAAAGAAGAACAAAATAAACCATTTCATTGAGAAAAGCACACATATTATAGTTCGATCTTAACTTAAAAAAACAAAACAATAAATACCACCTGCACAGAGGAATCCCGCAACTGGCAATTGTTCAGGAGAAGATTTTTAAGTATGATAATGCACACCCATTTCCAGATTTCAACTTCTTAGATTACTGCATGGTCCATAATATGTCGACACTCCTGTTTCATAAGTCCAAAATTGGTCAGCTAGCTGAAAATCCAACAGTTACTTGATTTCCGAACAATCTTATGTGAAATAATAAAGAAGATACAGTCACCTCATGGATGGCATTGAACGTGAAGGTATTTGTGATTCCTGAGCCAAACTGATACAGTTTGTGAATGAGGTGAAGCTTGTCCGTCTTTGACAATCTTATCTGGAACCATGGCATGTGCACCAAAAGCAGGATCCTAAAGAACAGAGTTATTTGCCAAACAACATTTCCTGTACTGCAAAGAAGTAATTGACATCTGATTAATCAGCATGATTTTTGTTTCCTGAGAGGCAACAAGTAGATATGCTCACCGCAAAGGCGTGATATACTCATTCGAAGTAACTATACTCATTTGAAGTGATATTCATGGAAACTTCTCTACGCTCAGCATCCGAAATTTTTAGTTTATTTCTCAGTTTAGTAGGAGGTCATTGCCTTGTCGCCTGGGATACTGTCACCATGTCAAAAGAAGAGGGAGGACTGGGCATACGAGATCTCAAAGCTCACAACCTGTCGCTACTAATGAAACTTGCAAGCAAGCTGCTATCTGGCTCCCCGGAGCCATGCTTCCACTGGCTCAGAGCACAGCACCTGCAGAACGAGATTTATCCTAGCAAGACCAACTGATACACCGGTTTGGAAGATGATCTGTGGAGCATTGGAGCCAACAATAGCATCAACCAAAGTTTTGCTGGGAAGCAGCCTTTCGGTGCAATTCTGGAAAGGCCATTGGACGGACGATGGCTGCTTCTTCAACACGGCACTGGCATCATTCGCAACCAACATCAACTGTACAGTCGCCTCACAATTCACACAAAACACCTGGGCGATTAATCTCCACCCAGTGTTATCGAACCAGGCACAGACAGAACTCAACCTCCTCATGAACACTTTGGCAACTATTCAACCATATGCAGATGCACCAGATACAAGATCACGCCTTCAATCCCTCAACGGAATAACAACCGCAGCATTTTACAGACTCCTCACCTTCCGCAGCATATCAGGGAAGCCGGCTGACTTCATATGGCTCAAAGCCATCCCAAATACTTGCAGAATCTTCCTCTGGCTAGCCTTCAAAGACAGGTTTCTCCAACAACAACAGAACACACAAAAGGTGGTCGTCTGACCCACACTGCAACATCTGCCCAGCAATTGAATCAGCAGACCACATTGTGTTGCGTTGCAAACTGGCTGAGGTCCTCTGGACAAAACTCAGCCTCAATTCCATAGCAATCCAATGTACTGACATCCTCCAATTCATCGATGAAGTCCTAGGTTCTTCTCAGGGCCACCTCAAGCTGGGATGGCCGATATGCTTCGCTGCCTGTGCTGATGTGCTCACAACCTATGGAAGGCAAGGAATGATGCGGTATTCAACTGAGCTAACACAAGCATTTCCAACCTCCTGCAGACAACAAGAAACTGTCTGAACTTATGGGAGAACCGTGTCAAAACAGCAGATCGAGCGCAAATTCAAGGCTGGATAACAAAACTGAACTAGATGATCACAGTGCTGCTCACCCAGAATATTCAGACAATTGTATTCATATGCTACTCTTTCCCTCTTTCATTTTTTTTTCTTATTTCTTCTTTCTTCTTTCTTTTTTCTCTTCTATCTTCTTCGCTCGTTCCCCTTTACCTCTGTATTTTCTCTCTTCCTTTCCTTTTGTAATTGGCCACTTGGCCATGTAAACCATTGACCACCATTAATACAATGGTAATAAGGTAGAGCCTCTCTACCTTCTGCGTAAAAAAAAAGAAAGTTTAGTGAGAAGCTTGGCCTGTAATTGTAAGGTAAAAACAACAGAATATACAGACGAAGCAATGCAGTATAATAAATCAAAACAATTCCATAAGAGTATATAATAACTATAACTGCACAAAAGAAAGATAATATGGAATGAACAAAACTCCTAACACAGAAGCATATGCTGATCGCTCCAAGCAGTGAATCTGAAATGCAGTATCTCCAGCATCTGTTACCACAGGTACAAGATCCAGAGAATCCATCATAACATCAATGTTATTTCTTCTGGTCCACTCCTATATGCATAATTGTGGAAAACACACTGGCTGTCAAAAATCTGCTCACTTCTGGTCTTTTTTAAGATATCAGAAATTTTAATTCTGAACAACAAGCATTGACAATGAACAAAAAATTTCAATATTCCATGTTGAAATGTTAGATGCATTCATTCTGCTGATAAGTGGAATGCAATCAGAAAAAAGGATCAGTGATTCTAATTATAACATCATCTGCCTTCAAGAAACAAAGAAAATCAATTGAGGCAACATATACTAAAAGTTTCTGCCCAGCTCAGTTGAACAAGTTCGTGTTCTTACCATCTCAAGGAAATTTGGGAGGTTTACTGATTGTCTGGTCAGAAGTACAGTTAGAAGGGAACAGACATATTTTAATGACTTCTCCTCTCTCCCAGTTGCTCTAACATCAAATATTTCTGGAAATGTATGGATTCTTACAAATATCTACGATGCTTGCCTATGTGATAAAAAAATAGAGTTCTTGATCCGGATTGAGAACATAACCATAAAATAACTCTCTGGGTTGAAATCTCTCCACTCTGTATTGTTTAGTTGCCTTACATAGATAGGTTGAACAATGCTAAGAGATTGTCACTACAAACAGAACGGGGGATGCAATTCTAACAAATCGACAATGGCCAGGTCACAACTTCACAAGTTGCCAGTCCACTGATTCTGACTCAACTGACATGATACTGGTGAATTGACAGATAATGAACATGATCAGCAGTGAACCAGAATGCTGAATCGGGCTGAATCGGCATAGGCATACCTCATTCTTGAGCTGATCCTCATCCTATCGATCCCTTTCGTGCCCGAGTTTGTAGTTTGCTCATCCCATGATCCCTCAGCTTGAATCAATAGAAACTCAAAATTCAGCGTCAAAAAAAAAAGAAACTCAAAACAGCAGGAAGTGAAAAAACTTACTGCATCACAATCCAGAGAGGCGCAAAAGAGGAAAACCCTATCATCTTCTCGCAAGAATAGCGGAGAACCCTGCTCGGATTCAGCGCGGCGCAGACCCTGGAATCAGCCGCCAGGAGCGGCCCTCGCCGTGGTCGCGGTCGCGTCGCCCCCCGCCGGCTCCGCGGGGCCGACCGTGGGGAGCGCGGCCCTCGGCCCTCGCCCCCACGCGCACGGCCGAGGCGGAGGCTAACGGGGTCGGCCGCGCCGGCGTCGGACCGGCACCCGTCGTCGAAGGAGGTCGCGGCGGAGCCCCAGGGGGCCGCCCTCCTAAACCCTAAACTCGTCTCGCCGCCCGCGCGGACGACGGGGCTAGGAGCAGGGATTCTGGGCTCGGTGGAGGCGGAGAGGAAGAGGGGGATCCGGGCGCGGCGGTGGCGGCGAAATAGGAGACAGAACGAGGGCTACTTCCCTTCACTTCGCGCGAAACGGAGTAAAAGGCAAACGGGACGAACACTCATGCTTTCGTCCAAATGAATCGCACAAAAGAGAAAAGAAAAAAAAAATCAACCAGGTCAGAACTCAGAACAAAGACTATGCTGCTCTAACCATCTCCATCAGGCTTGAGGTTGACGATAACTAAGGTGCCGCAGGCGCGGCCGCGCCGACATTCTCCGCCGCCTGGGGCTCCTCCACGAGGCCCTCGTCGTCGTCGACTGCTTCTTCTCCAGCACGAGCGTCGCCGAGGAGGAGTACCTCCGTGGCCATCGCTGACGGTGGCGTCGCCTGACTCGCCTCCAGGGCAGGAACATGGGCGTGCTGCAGAGAGCACCCCATGACTCCGCCGGACAACTTCACCGAAGATGATGAATGTATCCAGCCGCGACGCCTGTCTTGCTGAGGGAAAAAGCTGGGGAGGCGGTGCCGGTGCTCGTCGTCGGCGGAGCCGCCCCCAACGCCCCCAACGCCGCCGCCGCCGCCGCCGCTGCCGCTGCCGCCTCCGCCGCCTCCAAGTCCCGATCCCTCGGCGAGCAGCTCCATCCCGAGGACGGCTGATCTGGTGGGCGCGGGGGGGCAGGGGACCTCGAAGACAAAGTTGACGGCATCCTCATCCGAGAGGATGTGGCGTCCCGCTCCCGCTCGCGCGCCGAGGGTCTTGTCGACGACGTCTTCAACGGGGGCCGCGTCCTCGGGCTTGTCGGAGCCGTTGCCTCCGGGAGGCGCGGTGGTGTTGGGATCGTCGACCTCCGCGAAGAGCTCACGGACGCCTTCGAGAGGATCCTCGATGGGCGGATCGCTCGCCGTCACCCGAACTCGCCGTGCTTCTATCGCGAGCGGGGGAACGCGTGCACGAGCAATACGGAGAGTGGTTTCCCCGGCGAACTCCCGTTTGAGGGGGAACCGCACCGAGGAAGGCCGAGGTGCTCTGCCCTTGCCGCGCCCGCGTCCATCGACGGGCAGTGAAGCGCCCGCACCGATTCCTATCCGATTCATTTCTCGAAATGGTGGAGGCGTGGAGCGGAGGGGAGGGGAGGAGGGTGTTCTTGGCGTGGCGAGGAAGCGGGAGGAAGAGGCTTCGAACGCTCGAGGACGAGGACCCGTTATATAAAGGGAGAAATGACGAAACTCACTGACACGTGGGACCAGGTAGCACGTCAAAGCTCAACCGTCGGATGGAAATAGTGAGACGGTTAGATTCTTCTCGGGGGGGCAAACTGGTAAAAATTACCTTGAAGAAAACTAATTTCAGTCAGTGTTACACTTGTGGGGCGGGTTAATGGCCTTGGTTGGGCCCACATGTCATACAAAGATAGACTTGGATGATACAGTCATCTTGCCTACGTGGCGGTGGCGCCGCCGCCGATTTCTTGCAAAAGCGGCCATGCGCCCGCGTGAACACCGGCGACTCGTCCTCCCATTCCCCCACAACCTCCGCCTTGCCTTTCCCCGCGCCGCCACCACCATCGCCACCGGCGCCATCCCTTCCCCTCGTCGCCACCTCCACCTCCACCTTGCCGACCTCACACGACCTCTCGTCTCGCCGCGCCGCGACCAGGCCAACCCCGGCCCGACGAGTAGCTCGGTCTCGGTCGCCGCCGTCCGCCGAGCGCACCACCCGCTCCTCCGAGCCCGGCTGATAGAGGGGGCGAGGGCATGGCCGACGGCGCCGGCACCGGGAGATCGGGGGGAAGAGGAGAAGACCGGGACGAACAAGCACGGGCTCGTGCCCGAAGACCTGGGTCTCCTCGACATCCTCGACGACAAGCACACGCAAGCGCGCCCGCGAACTCGACACGAGTTCTCGTCTCGCCGCGTCCCGGCCCCAATCGGCGCCAACCCCGCCGATCATCTCGGTTGGCGGCGCCGCCGCGCTCGCCACCCGACGCGTACCGACTTCCTCCCGTCCTCCGAGGCCCGTTGATCGGGGGGCGAGGGCATGGCGCGCGGCGCGCCTGCCTCGGGAGATCGATCGGGGGAGAGAAGAAGAACGGGATGAACAAGCACGGGTTCCCGCGCGTCTTCCGCTTCGTGGCTTCGTGCCCGACGACCTGGAGGAGGCTGGAGCTCCTCGACATCCTCAACGACAAGCTCCGGAGCCGCCGCGCGTGTACCGTCGTCACCCGCGCGCGTCAGGGCAGCCGACAAGGTGTAGGAGCTGGTGCGCGCGGCGCGGGGCGGCCGGTGGAAGAGCCCAGGCTCCTGCAAGAAAGTTGACGCGCGGCGTCGCCGTCGGCCAGAAGAACGCGTGTTCGACGGCGGCAAGAACCCCGTTGTGTTCGAACGAGGGCATGGCGGCACCGGAAGACGGGCACGAACAAGATGCGGTCGGAGCGCGCGGCTCAGAGCGGCCAGTGGAAAGTCTTCGGCAACTGCAGCTGCCGTTGGGCTGGGCGTGCGCATCGGCGAGACTATCTGGTTGGCGCCACCGCCGCCGCCGCCGCAGTGCATCGACGTCCCGGGACCGGGAGGCGACGAACTGGACCAGCTGCTTTACGGATACGAAGAATCACCTGGCGTTCTTGTTCAAGGATGACGACGGCAATGCGCGCCGCCGGTGCACGTGAGCGTCTCTCAGTCTCACACCCTGCGTACTGATTGACCACTGGAATTTTTAATTCTTTTTGGCGAATTGCTTAGCTGATTCTGACCAGCTGGACGTCAAATTTCTGGCAAATCATCAGTGATGAACTGTTTACTCTTTTTTTTTCGGCCATTGGTGTTGTAACGCACTTAACTAGCTAGTTCTACGTGAGGCTTCGAACGCTCGAGGACGAGGACCCGTTATATAAAGGGAGAAATGACGAGGTCTAATTCGTTATGCTTTAACAATATCTCACTGACACGTGGGGCCAGGTAGCACGTCAAATCTCAACCGTCGGATGGAAATAGTGAGACGGTTAGATTCTTCTCTTGGGGGGGGGCGGGGGGGGGGGGAAAAACTGGTAAAAATTACCTTCAAGAAAACTAATTTCAGTTAGTGCTACACTTGTGGGGTTAATCTTTTTGTTCACCATAGGAGGGCTCTCTGAAATTGTTTTTTTTTCGCGAACGCACAAAAAGATTGCACGTCAATATATTAGAAGAATAGAGTTTATGTTACACGACGCACTCAACCAGACCAGCCTATGCTAAGGATGGAAGAAAACAAAGATAAAAAAAAGGAAGAAAAGGAAAAAGTCGTGACGATGATAACTCTACTCCAAACAGCGAGAAGGGGCAGAGCCACTCTACGCTCCCAACAATTCCCCAAAGGAAGCGATGGCCGCTAATGACCACAACCGGCCCTCCAAAAGAATGGACTCTAGGACCACTGAGACCGAAGAAAGCACAGAATCAAAGACCCTGGAGTTACGTTCCTTCCACAGTTGCTTTGAGACTAGGAGGACCAGAGAGTCGAAGCTGGCACGAAGATGATCAGGTAAACAGGCCCTAGAAGATGGCCATCAGTCCTGTAGCCAGCTGCCACGGAGGGGAGAGAGGGCAGTCCAGCCAGGAGGCGACAGCACCCGTAACCAGACCTGACGAGCGAACACGCAGTCGAGGAGGATGTGGTTCGCCGTCTCAAGCTCTTGAGCACAAAAGGGGTAGCCCGAGTGGCTATCAATGCCACGCTTCTGAAGGCGATCAGTTGTCCAACAGTGCTACTGAAATGCAAACCAGAGAAAGAATTTGCACTTAGCAGGGCCCTTCGCGTGGGCTAGCTGGTTAGGATACTCAGCTCTCTGAAATTGTTTTCAGGCGATGTTCAAGCATGCGTTGCAGGCGAGCAAGAATCAGGCATTCGGTGATGGGGCGCGAGAGGAAGCGCGCCGCGAAGGCATTCAAGTTCTGTCTCAGTCTCTCCAATTCTGGGGCGACGGCCTCACCTAGCACCTACCCACGCAAACGTATCGTTTCTGGCTGGGATCTTATCTCTCGCCTCGCATACGGAGCCGAGCGCATCATATGTACTCCCTCCGTCCCATAAAAAACCAACCTAATACCGGATGTAACACATCCTAGTACAACGAATCGGGACATACTTCTGTTCAGATTCATTGTACTAAAATATATCACATCCAATACTAGATTTGTTTCTTTCGGTACAAAGGGAGAGCGAGGGGCTGACGTCTCCTTCAGCTTGACAGGGGTTTGTGGTCGGAGTCTCGGAACGCTCACCATGGAGGTCGCTGCCTGGTAGCATTGGCAAGCAGAGCATGCATGATGCCACGAGCTACTACGTAACATTGCCATTGCGAAGAATTAAGTACAGTGGCAATGGGTGTGTGGCTTTAACCCCGTGTTTAATCCCTAACACACTCGTAATTAGGTAACATTGTCATTTTTTTTTCTCATTGCCGTTGCTCTGTGTGCCCGTGCAAGTAGGGGTGGAAACGAGCCGAGCCGATGGCTCGGCTTGGCTTGCAATGGCTTGCAACAAGCTAAGCCTAGCTTGGCTCGGCTCGGTTAGGGAAACGAGCTAAAACATGAGCTCGGCTCGGCTCGTTTCCTGGCTCGAGCCAGCTTGAGCTAGCTTGCGAGCCTTCCGTTGAAGCTATATACTTTGTTATATACTTTGTAATCATTAAGAAAAGTAATAATAAAATCATCAACATGTAAAATTAAAATAACTTTATATATTGAATTCATCAAAGTATAGATGATAAATTATATATTGACAAATAATAACTTCATTAAAAAATAAAATCACCCATATAAATACATGATGGTCTAGACTCACGAACTAAATCAAGCGGCTCGCGAGCCAGCTCGGCTCGTTTCAGAACCGAGCTGAAAAGAAAGCTTGGGCTTAGCTCGTTTGGCATTCAAGCCGAGCCGAGCTAAGCAAGCTCGAGCTGAGCTCACGATGGAGCTTATTTTTCCACCCCTACGTGCAAGCGCCAGGCAACGCATGAACGGCACCATGGCAGGCTTTGTTGCCGTTGTTAGGCCTCATGGGCCATATATGGGCTGAATGGCCATGACCGCCTCATACTTCGTATTTTTATTTCCGGGAGGATATTTTAGTACCACCTCGCTAACCAAACGAAACGTTAGTTGTCGCAAAATATATAGACGGGGGATGAGAACATCATCGGTCGAACAGGATGATATGCCATTGGTAGTGCAGTGGTTATGGTCTGGGTATTGTTGCACATTGCTGCTTGCTTATCCCTCAGTTTTGCGCTTTTATTCTTCTTTCTGACAACTTTACCGATTTAGAAATTAGAAAATAAATTTCTTTTCTAAATATTTTTCTTTTCGTTAGTGACAACTTTACCGATCTAGAAATTAGAAAATAAATTTCTTTTCTATCCTTTGGAAAAGTACTAGGAAAATGCCAGTAGAGGTTATCACAAATCAATTTCATCAGTAAGAAATCGATATTGATAAATAGAGCTCGAGAGTTAGGTCAGGTGGTCATCGGCAAGGT